TACCCCAGTCCCTCTCCTCCCTGTAGCCAGGGGACACGAAACCTCTCCTTCCCCAGTCTCCCACTGGGTTAAAAACGATGTGCAGCAAATACATCATCAGGGAAGGGTAACTCAGGGTTTTATTTTTAAGAGCCAGCAGGGATCTTAGAGATCAAACAGTCTGGTGGTCTCCAAACTTTGTTCTGCAGTGAATCCTACCTTCTTGAAAAAAAATCTACACAACGGAAAGCAGACACAGGAAGCTGAGGCTGGGGTTAGGGATACGGGACAAGGAGTAACTCCCTACCTGCAGTGAAGTCCTAAGACACTTCCTGTAACCCTAGGGTGCCCTGGGACGTAATTTGAGAACCACTTAATGGGATTTAAGACCCTTGTTATCAGTGAGAGAACTAAGGCTAGGAGAGGTGTGGGGACTTGTCCAAGGTCACCAGCTTTTCTCCACACCCATCTTGAGTCACCACCACTCCCTCCACATAACCCTCCTTTACAATCCTTCAACTGCACACACGTCTGCTTGGGGCTATGGTGCACCCAGTTCCATGCTGGGTAGTGGGGACACCAAGGCAGGTAAGACATGACTTGTGGTCTTCAGCGTCTGCAGCCACACAGGGAGCCGACAGACACATCTGCACGTCCCCAGAGCCCAAAGTGAAACAAGAGAAGGTTGGACCAGGGCGGGGTGATCTGCGTCCTAACCTCAGCTTTGCAACTAACTTGGTCTTGTGTCCACAGAGAGCCACTCCGCCTCTCTGGCCCTGTCCCCAGCTGTCAAACAAGAGGGTCCAGCTCTCTGCTACTAAGGCACACGTCAGGGAGGTTCTCCAGCAGACGTGCAGCCAGCTCCCGGTTGTTGGCCTGCAAGTGTCTGTCTTGAGTCTCCGCAAAAATTTAGAATTGGAGGCCAGGCAGCGGGGAGGAAGGCAAGCTCCTCTTAACGCTGGCTGAAGGGAACTCTCCAGGCAAAAATGATCGAATTTTGCATTCCTAAGCCAAAGGGAAGGACTGAGGAGAACTGCCACCAAATGCTCTGCATTATCCAGGCCGCAGCTCCCTCTTCCCTTGCCTGAGCTGCGGAGACCTGGCCCCAGGGCCCGCTTCCCCGGCTGTGGCTTCTGGGCACACCCAGATGTCAGAGGGATGTGAACGAAAAATACTGCAAACCATATCAGTAAGCAAAGAATGCTGAAGCCATCAAGTCATGAGCCTATGCCGCCACCCTGCAGTGAAGACAGGCCTGCAGCCGGGCCTCTGCAGCCACTCACAGTGGTGCCCTCTGAGCAGACTCAGAATAAGAAAGGACAGGACACTGGCCCTAGACAGCCAGGTGCTTGTCAAAGGAATGAATTCAGTGAGCCCAAATGTTTGCTTCCTCCCATACATAGAAAAGCACTAAAATCTTTAACTTCAGATGCCTGCTTTTCTTCAGATAACAAGTAATCTTTTCTTGTTCCAACTCACTGGTCTTTGTTGTAAAGCTCCTATATATCCTAGCTCCTTCCCTACCTCTTCGGAGCAGGCCCTCAGGGTGAGATCTGAGAGGCTGTCCTCCCAGCTCGAGTCCTCTCACCAAATAAAACAACTCTCAACTTTATGGCTGCGCATTTATTTCAGCTGACAAGGATGAAGGCCTTGGTGGGGATCCAGGCACTGTGGTCACCTTTCCAAGAAAGCCCAGCCTTGCTCCAAAATCTGAGCGAGGATATTTAGAGCGAGTGGGCAGGGGCCACCATGGTACCGTTCACAGCCCTCTTCTTTCAAAAACTGAGGCCACCAGGGGGCTGGCACTGATCCGAGTACACGGCTAGGTGGCCTTGGGGCGACCAAGGCTTCTCTCCCCCT